TACAATTGTTATTCTATTCACTGGCAAAAAGAAATTTATCATTCTGTCGACAACAATAAACTTCGATAGATTCGAGTATCGACTTTACATCTCTTTTTTAAATATGGATTTATCCCATTTTTTAATTTATCATATTTATCCCATTTTGTTGTTTGCCATAAATATATTTTTGTATAAATATAGCCAAACCTGTTCACAGGCAGGTGGGTTAACGTTGAGAACTTGAAAAATCTTGTATAGGATGTCAACAGCCTTCAACACATTTTCCATTTTATATCAATGATGATATAAAAAGCCTCAATTACAGTTGATTGTGAGCCTATTACAATTATATATGGCTGTACAGTGGTTTTTAGTTTAGCGGCCCTTTCTTGTCTTCGACGTTTTACTTTTTTTAACTCTCCTGGGATCTATAGTAATAAATTTTTATTTAAAGATTACAAATTAATTAGTGCTTACAATATATTATTTTAAGTTAGATCAAAGATAAAATTTTTCATTTATTAAAATATAATCATAAAATATCAATGAATTATAAACAAATATCTTATTTTAATATGACAAATAAAAGCATCCATTGATTCTGCTATAGTAGGTCGCCATATCTTGTTTCCTCCTGAGATTCTGAGTCGCGCATTTATTAGATACAGCACAGGTATTAACCCTTAAATGACTAGTGGGGTCCAGCGGACCCCAGACCCTTTAGAATGAAATGTTTTCAAATGTTCTTGCCAAAAATGGAGCTCATGCTCCCATTGATGATAGTTGAGTGATTGACCTACCCGTGTGTACACTTAGCAGTACTCAGTTTATTTAATTTTTTATACTATGTCAAAATTGAAATTTGAACAATATTATTAGCATTTTATACTCTTCTCTAGACCTTGAACAACATTGAAAAAAATTGTCATAACTAAAGATAAAAAAATCAATGAGTAAGGAGACATTTTTCATGCTGGGGTCTTTTAGACCCCTCAGTGAACTTACGAGATTCTTGAGAGGTGTGGCATTTAAGGGTTAAAAAAAGCAATGCAGCATCTCTACGTTTTGTACATCTGTAGATAAATAATAATCTTTACATTCATTAAGAGTTAATTTTTTAATTTTAAATCTGTACAAAATAATATTTTATTACCATCTTCTTTGTATAGTTGGATTTCTTCCAGTTGCTTAGCAAAGATTTTATCTTTTATGACTCGATTTTCCAGTAATGTTTCAATTTCTTAGACAAATCGGGCAACTCATTGTAAATGTTTGATTTTTCATCGATTAAAGCATCGTAATCAATATCCAACTGAAATAAGAAACATTATAATACAAATTAAAAAAAAATTGTTGCGTATAAGCATGTAACCGAATTCCTGTTTGAGTACTGGATATTTATTAAAAATATCAAAAACGCTTCCTTCATATTGTTTTATGAAACTTTGTCTTAATTCACGAGATCCATTCCAATGTTCTTTGACAGACGACCAAGGTGCTGTATTGTATCGTAACCACTGCAGGTGGTTTTTGCAAACACGCTTAGCTATAATTTATATTTGAATTAAAAAGAATTCAAATTTAATAGTTTTTTACAAGATATATTATTGTAACATCAATTAAATTTGTAACTAAAACATTTGTATTTAAACAAATATAATTTAAATAATTATATTCCATTGTCATTACCTTCAGGATTAATGCTTGAATCAATATCTAATTCATCAATGTCCTCGCCAATTTCTTTTGTTTCTTTTGTATAAGTCCAATTTGTCGACATTCATCAAGTTTATTTCGATGGTGTCTGTGAAGTTGGCATATCATTTTCCAGCAGATCAAAAATAAAAGGCAGTTCTTGTC